ATAGATGTAACTTGTGCAAAGAAGACAAACTTATGCTTCTACCATTTATTCATTCAGATCATTCCAAAATATTTAATATGTACTTGAATCCACTGCCTTGGATATTGGGTGAATGAGAAATAAAAAGACGCAGTTCATATCCATATTCTTGAACAGCCTGGCTAAGTATTTTGGATTACAAGTAGGAGTGGCATGTTGGACTTGCTACAGAAACAAAATCATGACAGTGTGTGTGTGTGTGTGTGTGTGTGTGTGTGTGTGTGTGTAAAGAGAGAGTTAAGAATGCTGGAAGGACCATAGACTGCTAAAAGGACAGATGATCTGTCTTGGAAGAAGTATGGTCAGAGTGCTCCTTAGGGGCAAGGAGGGTGACCAGTCCCTAGAGAAGAACATTGTGCTTGGTAAAGTAGATGGCCCGTGAAAAAGAGGAAGACCTTCAGGAGGACAGATTGGCACAGTGGCTGCAATAATGGGGGCCTGATAAGAACAACTGTGCAGATGGTGCGGGACTGGGCAGGTTTTCATTCTGCTGTGCATAAGGCTGCTAAGAGTGGGAACCAACATATATAACCCCACAAACGCGAATGTGTGTGTAAATGTGTACATATAAGACAGAGAGAGAGAGAGAAATTTATATTAAAAAAATGGCTCAGCCAATTGTAGAAGTAGGCAGGTCCTGTCCTCATCTGCACAGGCTGGTGGCGGCCTCAGGCCTAGAGAACAAGAGTTTAGTGAGCCCGACGCAGGATCCAGATGCAGCAAAAGCAGGCACGATTTTCCGTGATATCTACTTCAAGAGGACACCAGCCTATGCAAGCATGAGGTGTCGAAGGGATCAGGTATAAGGCATCATCAGAACAAAATATCTTACCATAGTGAATGATGGGGGGAGTACGGAGTGGAAACCCAAAGCCCATTAGTAGGCCACTGGAGATCCCATTGCAGAGGTGTTTCGGGGAGGAGACGAGTGAGTCAGGGTGAGATGTAGCAACAATGAAAAATACAACTTTCCTCTAGTTCCTAAAGGTTTCCTCCCCGCTCCCACTACCATGACTAGAATTCTACCTTGCAAGTCTGGCTAGACCAGAGGATGTACACTGCTACAAATAGGAACTGGAAACACAGGGAGTCCAGGGCAGATGATCCCTACAGGACCAGTGGAGTGAGTGGCGATACTGGGAGGGTAGAGGGAGAGTGGGTTGGAAAGAGGGAACTGAATACAAGGAACTGTATGTGACCTCCTCCCTGGGGGATGGACAACAGAAAAGTGGGTGAAGGGAGACATCGGACAGGGCAAGACATGACAAAGTAACCATTTATAAATTATCAAGGGCTCATGAGGGAGGGAGGAGTGGGGAGGGAGGGGAAAAATGAGGACCTAATGCCGGGGGCTTAAGTGGAGAGGAAATGTTTTGAGAATGATGAGAGCAATGAATGTATGAATGCGCTTTACACAATTGATGTATGTATAGAATGTGATGGGAGTTGTATGAGCCCCTAATAAAATGATTTAAAAAAATAAAATTATGGCATCAGGGGTTCAAGCTTTTCTCTTCCTGCTCTGCAGTGCTTAGCATGTTGGCTTGTGTCCATATACATGTCAGTCCAAGGTTGCACAGTGGCCGTCCCTGCTGCTGCAAGCACTGGTTCAATGCACACCAGTAAACAGGGGGACACGAACACGCTTCCACTTTGCTGCTTCTTTGTCTTGTTTGGAGGACAGGAAGCCCTCCCTAGCCAACTCTCCCTTCTTGTTTGCCAACATCGGATCAGGGGTCCACTCCAAATAAATTATTAACTAAGAGAACATAAGAAAACTCAACTTTAAAAATATCATGTCAGTTTGGTGTTTAAGATGGAGAGCAAGACTCATTCCCTTTCCAAAGAAGTGAACAAATAAGGGAGATTGGAAGCAATAATTCTGGCACTTAGCTGCTTGTCACAGGAAATCCTGTGCAGCACCAAGTGGAGCAGATGTGCCTTTCTCAGATCCATACACATCCCTGGCCTGAGGTTTGCTGGGAACTCCACAGTGACTCAGCAGGGAGAGGCAAGTAAGCCCAAGGAACAAATGAACTACCGCTAAGGTCACATGAACCACATCAGGCATCAAAGAACAAAAAATCAAATCATTGTGAATGGGGGGAGTACAGATTGGGGACCCAAGACCCATCTGTAGGCAACTGGGCCAGTCAGGGTACAATGTAGCAACGATGAAACATAAAACTTTCCTCTAGTTCCTAAATGCTTCCTCCCCTCCGCCCACTATCATGATCCCAATTCTACCTTGCAAGTCTGGCTAGACCAGAGGATGTACACTGCTACAGATAGGAACTGGAAACACAGGGAATCCAGGGAGCAGGGAGGGAGTGGTAAAAAAAATGAGGACCTGTTGCCAGGGGCTTAAGTGGAGAGCAAATGTTTTTAGAATGATGAGGGCAATGAATGTACAAATGTGCTGTACACAATTGATCAGTGTATGGATTGTGATAAGAGTTGTATGAGCCCCTAATATACTGATTAAAAAAAGAAAGAAAAAAAAAAAGGAAACAGGCAAGAGCCCTGAGGAAACCGCTTTTCAAGCATTAGGGCCATGGCCTGATGACAGGGGTTATACTCCACCCTAACCGTACACCTGCTTGGCTGCTCACAGAAGAGGCCCTCATGGAGTTTACATCATTATGGTACTTAGGTCAATCATGAGAGATTACTGGGCATCAACTGCCAAACCACTGAAAACCCTGGCCCGGCCAACGTGACACAAAACCCAACCATCACAGTAGGTATATGATGGAAATACAAAATGTAGGCCAAAAATAAACATATCTAGTTGGATACAGGAGAATTCTACCTATTAATTGCACTGGTAAATAATCTGAATGAAGCTCAATCAATGAGGAGATCATTCAAACAATGATAGCTTTCAGTATCTTTAATCTGAAACGATATTGTGCTTAACATTGAAAGGTTGTCTGAGTTAGGTCCTACAATATCTTGATCTGCTAAACTAGCAAGCCCAGGTAAATTACAGCTGATCATTTCTACCTATAAAATTTAAACATGTCTACCTAGCATCCTTGGGGTGTTGCTCTAAAAGTTAAATGTGTCCCTCTTATAAAGCTGTGGGTTTATTACCCTAAGCTTATGCTCTATGTGGAATGTACGACTTTTTCAAATTCTCTGGGTGTGACCGCCTTCTTTCTTGGTGTTCTTGGCAGTTTTGTTAGTGAGCATTCACACTCCTCATTCTAAGTCATTGTTCACATCCTTTCTGTTAAAAGCTTTACTCTGTGTATATGTGTGTTTAAACTAAGGAGAACAAATGAGATCTGAGATTAAGGATGCGAGGGGTTTTTGTTTTGTTTTGTTTTGTTGGTTTATCCCTTAATTCCATTCTAATACAACTAATGTAGACTCTGATTTAGAGTTAATAAAATTGACCGTAAGATGTCTCTATGGAAACCAACCAATAAAAGACAATATTTAATTAGAAATATCTATTATATTTCAAAACAAATGAAAAAATATCCATCTTTAGTTTTATATTATTCTTAATGTGGTTGTTTGGCCAGCTTTGAATGATGAGTTTATTAGCAGAAAAACACATCCTGAAAGTTCTGTTATTGACTATGCAAAAATGGTGAGCAATTAGATTATAGTACAGAAGTTAAATCAACTTCCATGTAAAAGAATTCATATATATGTATATAATTTATCTAAGTATACATTATATAGTGACTAGAAGATATTATTAAGTGAAATTCTATTATAAATGTACACAAGACAAGAAAATCACTACCTTAGCATCTACCACAGCCAACTGTACCATCATCAAATTTAATGAAACTTGTAAATCTCTGTTTTATGAAACAGGACACAATTTTTTGTGAAAATGAATCTTTTACAAACTAATATATGGTTAATTATATTTAATACATGAAGTGTCTAAATGTAGAATGTTACCTCAAAGCCTATTCTTAAATATTGGAAGCTTGCAAAAATGTATAAGGAAATACATGATCTGAGTCAGAATATATAATAAAATCTACAGAATACGTGTGCCAAACTAGCATGTATATTAAACATATTGCCCCAAACTCCATATCTACATATTCAGACTACATCTCCACAGCCTCTCACTATATGATAGTGTCGAGCGGAGACTTCTGCTAATTATGCAGTATTTATAAAATGCTCCACGTCAGATCCAGAGAGTAAAGTTCTAAGTTTGGTGGACAGATTGCAGAACTGAGAGTCTGTAGACAATTCCCCAGAGGCTAGCTGGATAAATTATACAAATCTGGCCAGTTTCTCCCCATTTATTAAAGAGAGAAGCAATGCTAAGTGACCTAAGGACTCTGACAGTCACAACAAGCCTGTGTCATTCTAAAACAGATGTGTCTGCTTTTATGTTATAAGCAAATCGAACAACTGAAAATCTCTGATAGAAACCCACAGTGGTCTCTAGGAGAAGAATATAGAATTGAATTTTGGATAAATGTGACCTAATATGAACTAAGAATAAGGATTAAGACAGTAACTACAGGCTTTGGATAGCAAATTGTTGTAAAATTTCTAAACAATAAAGTCTTTTTAATGGCTGTTGGAGTGGTCATATAGAATTCAACTAGCTGGAAATATCCAGGGAGAAATAACAGTGATGCTAAATTTACAGAATTTTATTCTAATGCAGACAAAGTCTCATTTAAGCCAAACATGAAACTATGAGAACTTGGGACACACTGTCTACACCCTTACCTCAGTCCCAAAGGGGTGGATGCTTGGACCTGCAATAACAATGCTATTTTCCTCCAAGGCTGGTGGTCATTCCAGAGGTTCATCTGCACAAAATACCAGGCTCTGAGTACTTACATTTGAGGAAAATGAAAGTGGTTCTCCTGTTTGAAAGTGCACGATGAACAGTGTTGAAGATGTGCTGTGGCTAACTGCAACTTACAGCAGAAAGATACTAAAGAGTCCCTTTGTCTCTCTCTTTACAGAGGAAGAGGGCGGAGATCTGGCCCAGCCAGGCATCAGTTTTCCGGGGCCAGCAGACGAGGAACTAGGTAGAGTACAGAGAACAGCACCGGTCGGGGGGACAATGGCCAGAACCAGTCACACTCCTGGTTGGAGTGACAGTGTGGACATCCAGTAATTGGTGAACCTTCCCACAAAATGTTTTATACTGATGTTTGACTTTACAGAGTGACCTAAAAAGGAACTAAGTAAAATATGATCAATGGTTTTGTTCTTGTATTCATAGACTCTTTTGTCTGTGTCATGGGAACCACAGGTAAGAAAATGATTCCTGCAGGTGATCACCGTGCTAACACACATGGCCCGGGTCTACACATGTGGAATGACCCCTCTGTTTTTTCTCCTTCTTCTTCATGCATAGACCATCCTAAGGATACCGAAGTCTCCTTCATTTGTTCTTGTCCCATATGATTCTGTGACTTTATATAAAACAGCTGATGCTGAGCACAAATGGTGTGCTTTCTTCCAAGGGAGCTTCGAATTTCTGTCAACTTGTATTTCCCCAGTGCTAGTTAAAATCATGGGGAATTTTATTTTGATGCTGCCCCAGACAAAATAAAGCCAGGGTCATATGCGGCCATTAGTCATTCATAAGCAGTTATACTCACTGAAAAGGGGGCTAGGGTTCTTGTTAGAAATGTGAACTGTTGAACAAACTCAAAGTCAAACAATTGAATAAAATCAAGGTCAAACTGTCAGCGAGAGACAGAAAGCCTCTCCGTGGCTGAGGGTTCTTTCTCTGTAAAGCAAACGTGGTGACTCGCTAGCCCACAGGATGCGGAGCCTCCTGCTCCAGTCGCTGATGTCATATGCTGATACACTTGAAGTTTCCATTTGACTTAAATTTCAATGTTGTTCAAGTTATTTAGGACCTTTTGCCAAGGAGCCGTTTTCCTGCTTGATTAAGTTAAAGAAAATGCCGACAGGTAAAGGAAACTACTTTACAGACAGCTGTGTCTTCTTGGTGGAAAAGTCTGACAAATAAACAGTTTGACTCTCCATTGAAAAGTATGAAACCAGTTACAGTGGTAAAAAATGACACTGTATCATCCAGTGCTGCTGGGTCTGAATTTATTTTTATTTCTTGCTTGTTATTCTCATGAAGCCTTTTATCACCTGGAAGTGTAAAATTAGTACTTTTTAATTTCTCATTATGAGGGAATAGTGACCTTTGTATTTGAATATTATGCATAACATTATTTTGCCCTCTGATTAAACTCTATCATTACAAATATTCACTCCTAAACTCATCTAAAGAGGTTTCTAAATGTATATGTCAATGTTAACTTTGTTTCATTGAGACGTCAGCCATGGCTCTCCTGCATTTTGTGCTGTTTCTGGAAAAATGTCAGGACCTGAATTGTAATTATAATGTCAGACCAATGTTTTTTTAAGAATTGGGTGAAAATGACAAAATAAGTAAGAAATATGTGTCTTCAACCAGTGATTTGTGTCAGGAGCGTGAGGTTTACCACAGTTATACTTGAAGGGAGCTCGTAGAGAGTGAGCATTCTCAGAGCCCGCCCCTGAGGCACTGGTACTTTTCAGTGAATGCCCAGCGTGCTACTTGCCATCCCCCATGGTGGCAAGGCCTCACTGCCTCATTTTGCTGCAGGGCTCTGCTTTTGGCCATGGTGTTGTGGAGGATCAGTGAGGCTGGCTGGCATCAATGATCAATCATTCGACTGAGTTAGACCTTTCTACTGAGAAGGTATCAATATGCCATATTCAATCCCTATTCTAGAAGGACCGGTGATAATCACTTCATATCTCAGAATTTCCCTTTTCCTAAGCCTTATCAAAAATACTTGCCTAAATGAAGCTAGCAATTTTCTGGACTATTTGAGCTTAATGACTAATCTTGTAAAAATGGATGTCCTTCCAGAGCGAGTAAACAGAAAGTTATTGAAAACGTGCCAGCATTCAGCAGAGTAGCATTTTTAATGACTATATAATATATGAGGCTAAATTAAAAAGTATTGCTTTGAAGTCATTCTAAAACACCAAACTAACAGGCATCGAGTCAATGCCAACACATGGCAACCCAGCAGGACAGAGTAGAACTGCTGAGACTGTCATTCTTGACAGGAGCTAAAGCCCCATCTTTCTACCGTGGCATGGCTGGTGGTTTCGAATTGCTGACCTTGTGGATCACAGCCCAGTGCATGGGATCAGCACTAAACCACCAGGGCTCCATTACATTGTTGCCTCCGAGTCATAGTCAAGGTGTAGTGTAGTCATAGAACTCTTTATCAACAAAACATTAAAATACAAAGCTATTGTTTCTTGACATATATCACTGTGGGTCTATACACTTGTCCTGAGGATAGTGTTTCCACCTCGAACCCTTCCCTAAAAAGGCTTTGCTCTTCAGTTCACATTATATCACAATGCCAGTTTTGACATCCTTAAGAAACTCAGATCATGTTCCTTGTCAATGTTGAGTTTGGGGAAGCAAAACAAGGTGGGTGATATCAAGACTGTGGAGTTGGATGAGGTCAGGCTTCTTAAGGAAAGTCTCCTTTCACAGTCCTAGCTACCCTTAAAGAATCAACAGATGCATTGTCATGGTGGAAATGGCATTCCTTAGCATGACTTTCCTGGCCTTTTTTCTCACCAATCCAATTTTCTTAAAATATCTTAATATTAAGCCCCTCTCATTATGTCCTTCAAGTAAATGTGTCAAGATTGGCCCTTTGAGATCGCAAGGAAAGTTATCACAACCTCTGAGATGACCTGAAATTCACGGGCCCTGGGAACCCAGGGGAAGCCATTCTTTGGACTGAGCCTTTTGATGCAAGCTCTCGAATGAGACTAAGACCTGTGTCTTCCTGGGAGAACGTCTCTGAGGCCGTCCACTGCGCACAGCCATGTTGAAGCACATTTCATTTGGAATAAGCCCATGCACGCACGTATGAGCCCTGCACGACAGTCCCAGGAGCGGTTCTTTTTGACTTATCCCCTTTGTTAGTCTCATTCTGATAAGTTGTAAGAGAATAAAATTCACCCCAAAAAGTTTTTATTTATTCTAACTTATCTTTATATGATATCTCTTTCATTGTCCTTTTTACAAGTATAAACAGAGAATCGTAGTGCTTAAGAGCTAAAAATCATCTTTCCATTGGGTCATTTCCAGCTCCTAGCAACCATATAGGAGAGCTGAGACCTGAGTTTGGAGATGGAGACCCTTTCAAAGAGCAGACAGGGCCATCTTTCTCTCCTTGGAATGGCTGCTGGGCTGGAGGTGAGCTGCCCAATGCCTAACCCACTCTTTACCCTGTGTTACCAGCTCCTAATAGTCACCTAAGAGACAAAAACCAAACCTACCACTGTTGAGTTGGCTCTGACTCATAGCAACCCCATATAATGGTCAAGAGAAGGAACACAACTTTGGGCTATAACATCAACATTATCACTATAATATCAATATAATGAACTAAAATGCATATAATTTAGTATTATTTGTGTATGTGTGCAAAAAGCAAAGAACAAATACACTTAATAACTATTCATGCAAATAGGTGAAGTCTTTCAAATTGATTGAGATAGTATATTTTCTGAATGAATGCTTAAACTAGAACATAGTATTTAATTCGGTGCTTTTATGTTATTCAATTTAAAACAAAATTAATTAAATATGAATGATGACAGTCTATATACAACTATTTTTTATGTTAATAATGAGTTTATATTTAAAAGGCCACAAAACCTAGGCATCAATCTTGACATTTCCATTAAAACTTTTATGACCTTTCACAGGTCTATAAGGTTTTGTTTATTCATCTGTGCAAATATAGACAATAAGTGTATCAACCTCCAGGAATGTCATGATAATTATATAAAGTAATAATAATAGCATAACAAGTCATGAGAACAACAAACTTTGTTGTTTATAGATAAAACAGAAAGTTTGGTGGTGCTGTGGGTTAGGTACTGGGTTGCTACCTACAAGGTTGACCGTTTAAACTCACTGGCTATTCCATGGGAAAGATATGAGGCTGTCTGCTCCCACGAAAATTTACCATTTCAGAAATCTTCTACAAGGTTGTTATGAGTTGGAACCAACTCAATGGAAATGGTTGGTGGGTAGATTTACAACCACAAAGTTTGTATGTTTCTTCAATTTTAACCAACTATTTAAATATTATTTCATTAATGAAGACATGCCAAGTTTATGGTAAACAGTGCCTGGATAAAACAAAGCCTGCGATTTCAGTGAGTGTCGTAGGAATTCCAGAAAAGATGTCACGAATTAGTCAAATTTTAGCTGGGCCCTGAATAACAAGTCAAATATTCAGGGATGGAGAAATGAAAAGGAACCCGGATGGCTTAACTGTGTTCGCCCATCTACTAACCTAAAGAATGGCAGTTCAAAGACTCCCAACGGCTCCATGGAAGAAAGCCCTAGCGTTCAACTTCTGTAGACAGTGCAGTCAACAAAACAGTATGCAGAATGCTGCTCTGTATCACAGTCGCCCTGAGTTTCGAGTGCAACTATACCAAGGCTAATTAACAACACCAACCACAAGATGTGAAGAAAGGATCTAATGTGTTCAGAAGAATGACCAGCACAAGATCCTGAGGCACGTGGAGAGCCTACTGAGGAAGACGCAGAATGCCGCACACGAATGAAATAAGATCATAGGAGTAAGTCGCACAGCCTGTCTGTGAGGTGGCAAGAGTCTGATCTGGACTGTGAAAGGAAAGGGAAGGAACCGCTGCATTTACAGCTTTGGAAAGAAAAGAGCGAGAGGGAACCGTTTGGTTATATAGAGCTCTCAGACACTGACTAGCCTTTCCATTTGGACTGCTTGGTAATTGGGATAAGCAGAGGAGGACTAGGGTAGAGAGAAGAGAATTCCAAATTAACTATCATATGATTCCGAAGATAGGGAATTCTCCAACTGCACATATCCAATAAATTATGTTTGTAGGGATGGATTTCAAAAGAGAATTCAGTCAAGAAAATGATCATTATGTTCCAAAGCTATTTGTTAGCTCATTCAGTGGTGGGCTGGGTCTCAGCCCT